ACCCACCCAGCCTTCCCCCGGGAGGGGGCCAGGCCCCGCAGAACTCGTCCCCTAGCCCCGCGCCCTTCGCCACCCAGAGACCCACCTCGAGAGGACTGGGCCCGCCCGGGACGGAGAGGGGCGCCGGGGCCGCGAGCGCCCTGGCGGACGCTGTTCTCCTCCTCCAGGTGTAGCGCCCCCGCGCGGCGCGGGCGGCTGGGCGTCTCCAGCATGACGGGCCAGAGCCTGTGGGACGCGTCGGAGGCCGACGTCGAGGACGGAGAGATCCGCATCAACGTGGGCGGCTTCAAGAGGAGGCTGCGCTCGCACACGCTGCTGCGCTTCCCCGAGACGCGCCTGGGCCGCCTGCTGCTCTGCCACTCGCGCGAGGCCATGCTGGAGCTCTGCGACGACTACGACGACGTCCAGCGCGAGTTCTACTTCGACCGCAACCCCGAGCTCTTCCCCTACGTGCTGCATTTCTACCACACCGGCAAGCTCCACGTCATGGCCGAGCTGTGCGTCTTCTCCTTCAGCCAGGAGATCGAGTACTGGGGCATCAACGAGTTCTTCATCGACTCCTGCTGCAGCTACAGCTACCACGGCCGCAAAGTGGAGCCCGAGCAGGAGAAGTGGGACGAGCAGAGCGACCAGGAGAGCACCACGTCCTCCTTCGATGAGATCCTTGCCTTCTACAACGACGCCTCCAAGTTCGACGGGCAGCCCCTGGGTAACTTCCGCAGGCAGCTGTGGCTGGCGCTGGACAACCCCGGCTACTCGGTCCTGAGCAGGGTCTTCAGCATCCTGTCCATCCTGGTGGTGATGGGGTCCATCATCACCATGTGCCTCAACAGCCTGCCTGACTTCCAAATCCCTGACAGCCAGGGCAACCCTGGTGAGGACCCCAGGTTCGAAATCGTGGAGCACTTTGGCATCGCCTGGTTCACGTTGGAGTTGGTGGCCAGGTTCGCTGTGGCCCCTGACTTCCTCAAGTTCTTCAAGAATGCCCTAAACCTCATCGACCTCATGTCCATTGTCCCCTTCTACGTCACTCTGGTGGTGAACCTGGTGGTGGAGAGCACACCGACCTTAGCCAACCTGGGCAGGGTGGCCCAGGTCCTGAGGCTGATGCGGATCTTCCGCATCCTAAAGCTGGCCAGACACTCCACTGGCCTCCGCTCCCTGGGGGCCACCTTGAAATATAGCTACAAAGAAGTAGGGTTGCTCTTGCTCTACCTCTCCGTGGGCATTTCCATCTTCTCAGTGGTGGCCTACACCATTGAAAAGGAGGAGAACGAAGGCCTTGCCACCATCCCCGCCTGCTGGTGGTGGGCCACAGTCAGCATGACCACAGTGGGGTATGGGGATGTGGTTCCAGGGACCACGGCAGGGAAGCTGACTGCCTCTGCCTGCATCTTGGCCGGCATCCTCGTGGTAGTACTGCCCATCACCTTGATCTTCAACAAGTTCTCCCACTTTTATCGGCGCCAAAAGCAGCTAGAGAGTGCCATGCGCAGCTGTGACTTTGGAGATGGAATGAAGGAGGTCCCTTCGGTCAATTTAAGGGACTACTATGCCCATAAGGTTAAATCCCTCATGGCAAGCCTGACAAACATGAGCAGGAGCTCACCGAGTGAGCTAAGTTTAAATGATTCCCTACATTAGCCAGGAGGACTTGTCATCCTCCACCCCACATTGCTGAGCTGTCTCTTGTGCCTCCGGCACAGCTCAGGCACCTTAAGGTTATGGTGTACGGAGTATGCCCAGCCCAGAGGGGAGAGATGCATGGGATATGCGCCCCAGGTTTCTTTTACAGTATTTAGAATCATTTTTAGAGGGTGGTGTGTCTGACACCATGCCTTTGCACCTTTCCACGAAATGACACTCACTGGCCTTTGCATTGTGGGCATAAAATGTTCACCTTTTTTTGCCAGATGAGTACACCCAGAATGCTAATTTTTCTGTTTGTTGTATACACTATTCTAGTGCTTGTGGCCCAGTACTGTCTGTGAATTGTTGTGCTCCTGTTTCTGAGGTTGTCATGTGAGTTCTGTACAAAAAGTCCCTCAAATCTGTCCAATGGAAATGCATCTATGAGGTCAGCAAGGATATTGAGAGATTTTGTTCACAGTCATGTGAAAACAAGATCTCAGCTCTTTATCCGTTGCTTTCATTTAGTTTTAATACCCAGACAAAGAGAATGCAAAGCTAAGCACACATGACCAATGCAAGTCTGTGAATAGTTTTTATAAATGAGCTGTAGCCCCATGGCTTGCATGGGTGCACCAATCATCTTTAGAATGATGTACACACATGTTCATCTCGTAAATGTCACTCTTTAGAGAATGTTATGTATTAATCGTGTAATGAAGACTGAATTTTTTTCTAAGAACAGTTGCATTAGTGACAGGGCTTCAGCAAAGCAGTCGAACCCCAGGATGCTTAAAGTCAAGTCAGCACAGGCTGAGCCCTTTTGTTCATGGTCAAGCCGCCATCTTTCCTAGGGTGACCGTAAAGACATGTATTTCTGGCTAAGGTTCCTGATCTAGGCCATTTGACCAAACTTTGCTGTGTCTTAGATATTAGCATGTTCTGAAATATTTATTTTTAAAGATGTTTAGGAATAAGGTCGTGTTGTCTTTCTCAACTAAAAAGAAGTTTACTGTTGTGTCGTCTTCCTGAGGTGAACATTGTTGGGTTGCTAGCAAGGGCAGTAGTTAAAATACTTTTGTGGCCTGCTCTGAAAACTCAAAAATGAGAGCCCTTTTCTTTCCAAGAAGAATTTACTCAGATTATTTGCTTCCAGGATACAGTATGTTGTATACGACGCTATGATTACCTGGGAGTTTTTGCCGTGATATGGAAACCTGGTGGTAGGGAAGTGTATACTCAAAATATAGATGTACATGGAAGTGATGTGGCTTATGCAGGATAGAAATACTATAGTTCTTATTTCTATTCCAACTGTATTTTGTTAGGCAAGAGTGGGTAGAGGCCAGGAGAAAGGAAAGAGTCATAAAACAAAAAACTACGACTTCATAAATGTCATAAATCACTGTAAACTTCTTGGAAAGCTTAATGCTATTCAAAAGAACTTTACACTTCTAAAGTGGTATTGAAAGGAGACAACTGTTTCCTTCTCCAAAATGCCTTCTCCCTCTTCTTCAGTTAACCAGCACATAACATAATGAAGGGGAACCTGGGCCCCTGTGTAAGATAGTTATTCATTGTCATCTTCAAGGTAATCTGATGATTTTCCAGGTGGCTTTCATTATGATGCGGTCTTTGGAAACACTGTAGAATCCAGGGGTCTGAACATGGAGTTAGCCAGGTGTTTTATCCAAAGCTTGGGCTTCCCCTTAAGAGGTCCATGTTGCGTTTTAGTTGATTGAGGATAATACATACCTCCCAGAGGTGTGGTGAGAATCTTTTCAGAGGGCTTTGTGTACTTGTCGTTGCCATGACTACTACAGCGTGGGTGATTTGTGGATGAATGCACTGGCCACTTATGTCCTTGGGTCCTCGGTTCAAGTCCTTCCATCAGACTGGAGTCTCATGGGGGACAGGGGGGTGGCCGCCTTCTAGTGTCTACATCTGTTTCTCAGAAGCATCAGAAAAGGTGAGAGATAACTTAGTGGTAACCAACCACTGCATCAGAGGAGCAGAGTTATTTTTAAGAATTTTCACATGGAACACTTGGCTTTGGCTGATGTTTCCAGCACCGGAAGGCATAAAATTTACAAAATCATCCCCAGCTGTACTGAAGGCAGGTGATGGTACAAACTTATCAGGACTGTTCAAGTTGCCAAGGCTGAGGATATTGGATCACTGAGCGTGGTATCCGTAGTCACTGACCATGAAACTTGTGCAAAGTGGAAACGAGGAAGGAGACAGAATAACTCAGTCACTCTTATGAGAAAATACTAAACAAGAAGGTTTACCATAAAAAAAGAGGTACCCTAGTGGTTACCCTTTACAGATGTGAATGCAGGAAAACTTGACTTTTCTTTTTGGTAATGACTTGCATTTATCTGGTGCCTTTCATTGAAGGAATCCCAAAGTGCTTTAGAAACTATCTTTTTAAGATCTCTTGTACATAATATAAATACTTGTATAAAATATGACTTTGCCCACCTAGACCTGCAGTCACTTCTGAGCATGAGAATGTCTCAGTGGCATTGAGTTTTCTAAGGAGTGGTTTTAGATAAGTGGGAGAGAAAACAACCCAGCTGACGTTAACACTGGAGTTAATTCCCACGAAAGATGACTGAACTATGACCCATCCATCAGGTGGAAGAAAAGAGAAATAATCTTCCTTTCTTCCAAAGTCCCACTGAGGTATGAAGTTCACAAGGGCTCTGGAATGGGTCTTTGATTGACCTTGCTAGAAAACATCAGACATAGCAGTAGCTGATTCCTTAGTCCCTGGAGCTAACCAGGGAAGTCAGATTAATTTTCTGTCTGTTCTTGGAGCCAAGCCTATAAGTGTGAGGTGGTATCTTTGGCCACCAGGCTGTGAGACTGACCCGTAAGCTTCCTTTAGGGGGACACAGTAGAAACTGGAGGTCACTTACTTCCAACTGTCATCTTGAGAGTAGCTTCACTCCCAGTATTTGAAGGCTGTTATTTTTAATGCCATTGGGACAGATATATGAGCCAGGCTTTGGAATCTGTGAGGAGCATTTTGGAAGTGCTGGGTTGGGAAATGACACACGTCTGTTGCACAAATGCATACGGTTATAGGTTTGTGTTTTCCACCAAACCCCCTTATTTCCTGGGTTTGTTCTTGAGAGGGGCATGTTGTAATGCCGAGCTGATTTGTAGCTCATAAGGTAGTAATTGGTATTTAACACTTGGACTTGTTATTTCTGCCTATCTTAGCACTCAAATAATTGAACTGCCTGTTAATTCTTGCCTCATTTCAAAGAAAATAAGTCGTTATGCACTTTGGGATAGCGTTGATCTGTACAGGTTGTGTGTTATCTACTTGAAGGCTTAACTGGTATTTCTTGTATGTTTTAACAGCATGACTTGTTACAGAGTTGTAATTTTAAAAATTGAGAACGCTGTATTTGCGATGTCAGTTTTAATGCTCATTAACACACTACTGTGCAAGCGTTGACGCAGGCTTCGCAGAACATTGTGTCTGATTCGCTGCACGTCCCTTTCCATGCCTCGACTTGGGAATGAGCAGTCCTAGGACACACTCAGGACGCCATCCTCGAAATGTATGCAGATTAAATAGAAAAAAATTCTGTATGCTTCCCAGAGGCACTTCAGTAACATATGCAGTGGCTAACACAACAAGGGCATTCAGAGTTGGGGACTGGATTTCCTGAGAAAGGCTGGGCTTTTGGGCAAATGGTGAGAAGAAAAAGCTGTCGATTGTTCCTTGCAGACATACAGGATCTAGAACCTTTAGCCTTCGGTGGAGGGGTGGTCATGTGTTCTTGGAACCCTCATGAAACAGACACCCCTGTGAGATTTTCCTCCCACACGTGGTCCTGCTCAGCGCCTCTGATGGCCCTGCCGTCCCTCTCTGTCCCGGGGTGCCGATCCTCCTGCTGCTGAAGTAGCTCCCTAACAGCAAATTGGGTACGAGGTAACCCTGAGTGTCCTGGTTGGTTGGGCATGAGTATTGCTGAGGGATACATGAAGCTAGTTCTTGGCACTATTGAGCCCAGACTGAGAGTATGGCTCTGAAGGCTGCAGTGAATCAGGAGGAAGGGTGCAGGGCTGACTCTGCTCAGATTTGCCTTCAACTCTGTGATTGTACAAACACACATCACTTGGACTCTCTGGACCTCCCTTCCCACTGCTGCAAAACGAGAAGGTGGGAGTAGATAATCCTTAAAGCCTGCCCAGTTCTTCGCCTCAGTGTAGAAACAGAATTTCTGCATGTCTCTCTGCATCCTCATTATAGCAGTGAGTGGATCCTGATATCCCTAATTTATCTTTAAGCAGAGCAGAGGGATTGCTTACAAATAACCTTCTATTCGGTTTCATTATCTCTTCAGCAGTCAGCCACAATAGATGACAGTTGCAGGGACAGTGTGACAAGAGAAATGCTTAGGCTAGTGTCTGTTCCAAGTGAATAGAGTTTTAAAACCACTGACGGGCCAGGGGCGATAGCTAATGCCTATAATCCCAGCATTTTGGGAGGCCAAGGTGGGACGATTGCTTCAGCCCGAAGAGTTCAAGATCAGCCTGGGCAACATGGTGAGACCTTGTCTTTACAAAAAAATCAAAAAACTAGCTGAGCTTGGTGGTACATGCCTATATTCCCAGCTACTCTGGATGAAAGTGGAAAGATTGTCTGAGCCCAGGAGGTCAAGGCTGCAGTAAGCTGTGATCATGCCACTGCACTCCAGCCTGGGCAGCAGACTGAGACCCTGACTCAAAAAATAATAATTATTATTATTATTATGATTATTGGCGAGTGTCTCCTTTGGGCTTTAAACTATTTACACCTTATCCAGATTCCTGCTATTGAAAATAATTAGACAGAGAGGGAAATCACAGAGACCCCATTTGGCTTCAGGGCTAACTGATCATTTTTGTTTGTTTTCTTGGTGAAGGCCTCGCAGATCTGCCACCCTTGTTCCCGCAAGGTTACTGGGCATCACGCAGGTCTTCTAAACGTACAGGGCAGACAGATCTCATCATCCAGGACCCAAGTCACATTGAGGAGGTGTGGAATCTTCAGGGGTCCTCTTCTGCTTACGCTGCAGAAGGACGCAGGGATCTGTGTTAGCCTTGCACCCAGCTCGTTGAGTCTGAGAAGGGGCTGCAGCACTGAGACTACTCTCCAGCCCTGCCATAGTCCTTGCGTTCCCATCAAGTGGAGCACAGCTCCGCTCCCCCCTCTAGATAGTCTCCCTCTAGAAGGAGTGTAAATGGATGTTAAGGGGGTATTTGGGGGCCAGGGTGTCTTGCATCTTTATAGGAAAAACAAACACTTCTGGAGGGAAGAACTTAAATACTGCGCTTACATAGTTATTATCTCTTCTTATTTGTAGGAGAACTTTTAACTAGCATTTCTCTCCAAAGACCTGATATTGGTGTTATACCCGATTGATACTGCAGGTCTGGAAAACTGCAACATTTTCCTCCTCCTGCGACCTCACTTATCAATATCACCATCCTCCTGGCTAAATTCTTCCAAGCAAATGACCATGTCTGCAGATGACAAACCGGTGCATTCAGAAGAATGTAGGCATAAATAAGGTCTTAAAGACAGGGCTATGGGGAAGGAGATACAAGAGAGGAGGAAAAGATGGCAGGCATGCCTTGAAGCTGGTGTAAGTTCCTGCAGGAGGAAAAGGGAAAGGAAGAAGCCAGAGAAAAGAGGGAAAGAGAGAAAAAATAGGGTACAGAAGGAGAGAGAGTGAAATAAAGGAAAAGGCAGAGAGGAAAAGAGGGCAAGAGAGTAGAGAAGCCATGTGTGGTGGTACACACCTGTACTCCCAGCTACTTATGAGGCTGAGTTCAAGACCAGTTCAAGACCAGCCTGGGCAGCATGGTGAGACCCCATCTCTTTGAAAAAAAAATTAGAAAGATTAGCCAGGCATTGTGGTATGTGCTTATAGTCCCAGCTACTCAGGAGACTGAGGTGAGAGGATCACTTGAGCCTAGGAATCCGAGGCTGCAGTAAGCTATGATTGCACCACAGCCCTCCAGCCTGGATGATAGAGTGAGACCTTGTCTCTATTAAAAAATTAAAAGGGCCTGGGTTCAGTGGCTCAGCCTGTGATCCCAGCACTTTGGAAGACTGAGGCAAGTGGATTGCCTGAGTCCACGGGTTTGAGACCCGCCCCGGGCAACTTGGCGAGAACTCGTCTCAAAATAAATAAAAAATTAGCCAGGCGTGGTGGTGCACATCTGTAGTTTTGGCTACTTGGAAGGCTGAGGTGGAAGGATTGCTGGAGCCCAGCAGGTTGATGCTGGGGTGGCTGTGAGTGTGGCACTGTACTCCAGCCTGGGCGATGGAGTGAAACTCCAACTCAAAAAATAAAAGTAAAAAATAAATGAAAGAGCAGACAGTAAATGAGAGAGAGGGGAGGCAATGTGTGATGATGTCATTGTAGGCCTTCTGTTGAATTTATATCCAGTTAACATAGCGTGCTCTTAGCCCACCAGGGGCCTCCTGGGAAGTAACTATCTCTTTCTCCACGGCTCAGTCTTTGAGGTCTTGCTTATGTCTACATTCTTCTGAATGCACCAGTCTGTCCCCTCCCCACTCACCAGAGGGTTCATGATCTGGTAGAAAGCAGTTATGGAGACTGCTTAAAGCACTTTGGGTGAAGAGGGCAGTGAGGACACAAGGAAGGGAGGAATAAATGCGTCCTCTGTGAAGACAGGTCTTCTGGGCTGTGAACAGCAAGAGGCCCACATGCTGGCCAGACGTGGTCGTAGGAGTCAGGGATGGAGAGACAGAAGGAAAGGAAAGGGAAGAATCCTCTTCCTCCACAAACAGGGCCCTGCACAAGCAAAGGCAAGGAGACAAGAGCACCCAGCATGTGTGCAAAGCACGCAAGTCAGTATGAAGCAAGATGCCAAACAAGTCAGAGCAAGGCCATCCCAAGAGCTTGGGCCTCGTTCTTTTGTCACTGGGGTGGGGACATCCTGATCCTATTAATGTTGTCAGAATGGGACTTGCATTCGCTCGGAAACTTGAGAGGGGCCCGGAGGCCTATTTGAGGTCGCAGTCATAGTGCAGGCCACATACATAGGAGCAGGTCAGAGAGGAAGGGGCAGAGAAAGTTGCTGAGAGGTGACTCTGCAGGGCTACATCGATGACTGGGTGTGGGGATGAGGGAGAGCGTGGGTAGGATGGCTTCTGGGTTTCTGGCTGGACTGGTGACTGGGTGGGTGGTGGTGCCACCAGGAGAAACAGGGAATACTCAGATTCCCCCTGAGGCGGAGCCATGTTGCCCAAGCGCCTGAGACACTCAGATCAGGGTGTGTGGTGGGCAGAGGGAGGCCTGGGATGGAGTTGTCGGCTTGGAGATGGAAGTGAGATCCATAGAGAGAAATAGAGAAATAGAAGAAAGGACAGGTGGCACCCCACAGGAGACATCAGAGGGGCAGTCAGAGGGTGAGTGAAGGCATGAGAGGGGCAGTCAGAGGGTGAGTGAAGCTCCCCAGGCCATACTTTTCTCAGCGGACCCCTCGTTGCCAGCCGATTTCTCTCTTGTCCTTGAGAAGTCCTGGGCTGGCTGATCTCTAGTGGTGACCTCTGCTTCCTCTCCAGCCGTTGCCTTATTTTTTTCTGCAATCTGGCCTCGATTCCTACCACCCTTTGGAGACTGCTTTCTTGATCACCGGTGCTTTCCCAACAGCTGAATTAGGGGGCCAAGGAAAGTGTCTCAAACTCTCCCAAATTCTCTGACGCCGCAGGTCAACCTGTAAGTCCCTTGCACTCCCTCCTCTCTGACGTTTGGACACTGCTGTTGTGGGCTCTGCCTCTCCCTCCTGCCTCCTCACTGGCCCTTCCTTCCCCTTCTGGCCCCCTTCAGCCTGCATTTCCCCCAAGTCTCCATCCACAGCTGCCTGCGCACCCTCTATGCAGGCTGTAGCCTCAGCTCACCCGCGAGTGACCCCATGTCTCCCGCTTGACCCCCTCGCTCCAGTGCCCCATGCCCATGTGACCCATGTGCATGGAAGTCACCTGGTCTGAAATGGAACTTCATACCTTCACTCTGAACTTGGTCTTCCTCCTGGCTTCTTCCTCATTTCTATCAAGAAAACCACAGTGCCCCTGGCCCCGCAGGTTGAAATTTCAGTCATCTTTGAATCCTCTCTGTTTATTTATCCATTTGCTCACCATAGCAATCATTTATGGACTGCTGACTCATTGTCAAGTGCTATATTCGATGTAAGGGAAAGAAACTTAGAGGGCATTTGCTCACAGCCATTAAGCAGTGTAGACTTTAGAGCCACTTTATTGTGCATGGAAATCATCTGGGGAACTTTTAACAATGTAGATTTCTGGGCATCACCCCATCTGCAAAATTAGACTTTCGAGGTAGGACCAGGAATCTGCAGTTGATGACTCCCAGGTGATTTGGGTACCGGTGGTTTTCAGGTCACTCATGGAGAAATGTCACCTGGGGGTGCTCC